ACAGTGCGCCGTAAAATTGCATTGGCGCACATCAAAGGCTGCTCTCAGGAAGCCTGTGGTTTATTGCATATTATCCGCCGAAGTTATGAGACCTGTGCAGCCCTCTCACCAATGGTATGTAAGAAATAGGCCGAGAATTAGGCAGGAAATGCCTGGATTTACGAACTGCGGGAGTAACCTGAGGGGATGGGGTGAGAGGGGTGGAGTGCTTATTTTTCGCACTTGGCCAAGTTATATAGCACGTAGACCGGCGAACTGTAGAGGAGTGTAGGACTGCTCCTCGTCCCACCTACTAACGTTAGATTTTTTCTGCCGATAGGCACCGTGCGTGTCGGTTTTGCTATCAGGGTTAGTAGGGCTCACTGTAGGTTACTACCTACTTGTTTGTGCAATTTAGAAAACTAGATTCGGTTTTGGAGGTTAGCCCTATATAAATGTACTGTCCATTGTCTATTGCAATTACCCGTATCCATTCGTCCGGCGAAAGCAATCTGACAATTTACAGAACACTTTTAAAACGAATGCGCAGCATTTGTAATCGCATTGTGCATCATACCACCTATAGTCGGTTCACATTCTATAATGTGACTAACAAGATACGCAGGAGGCATGTACAAACCAACGTCGACGAGATAATGTCTTCGTATTAAGACGACGTCTCCGTGGCGTAGGACTACCCGGTAAAGATGGAAGATAAGGTGTCAGACCGGTACCTTTCTTTCATTTAGTCTGTTTAGCGTGTATTTTTATCAACATATTTGTTTTGGCCTTGTCGATGTACTCAATCTGATATACATTTATAGTACAATAGCAGATATTCGTTAGCAGTAACGGGAAACAAACGCGGCTAATAGCAGTGTCCGTTTCTGTTTATCTACATGAGCCCCTCTGGGCAACGGAGATCAAATAGTCCTTATCCTTTTTGAATATATGGACAGTCATGTGTCGTCCTTAATTCAGTTTTGCAAAATTGTACCGCTAGCTACCTTGGCAACCCCTAGATTTGAAAAAAAGCGGCGACATTAGTGCAATGTGAAGACGTTTACGGAATCGTACACTAACACTCCGGAAACTCCCAAGGTATGATCGCCTAGCTCATTCTTGACAACGCAGTTTTGTATGAAATCCACTAAATACAGTAAAATCTGTTATATGCAAATATCTCGCGAAATTAGTGAATAAAAACGACACGCTTCATAGATTTAGCGATGTAGGCAGGTAACTTCTTCCAATGTAGTTCGGATTTTCAAGCTATTTTATAGGTGTGTGAACTCACGACTTAGACAGATGGCCTTTCCGTATTTCTCTACTGACCGATGATATGGCTTACAAAATCTGGTAGGCACCACACCTACGAGAGTAGCATTTGAAAAAATATTTGATTCTTAGTAGAAGCCAAAAGAGGGTCCACCTACGAGAACTGGGTTCGGCATTATGTTTCGAATAAATGACAGAAGCTTTTAAAAACTCAATTGAAATCGTACAGGTATGCATAAAAGTAGTCAATTTGTAAAAATAGTTACAGGTCGTATTAGTATGCTCCTAATCTGTATTGAACATTTCAGCCTTTTTATATTTATTATTAGATAACTTAGTAAAGTCAAAGCAACCGCTTACCAGTCCTTTCAATATTGCACGCGCATTTTTTGTTGTTGCGTCAGCTAAAAATGCAGTCATCGTATTTTTTTCAGATCAACAAAATATGGCCAGCCTTTTGCGGCCCTTAAAATGCTCATCCATCCTCGCAAATTTCAGCCGTGGATACCACATGGCGGGCTCAGTATCATCTCTTATAAAAGCTGGGTTCTTCGAAAACGTTCTACCACAGCACAGGTACGAAGACCGAGTTTTTACCTTTTGCTCTCAGCGAGCAGCACTTTAGTAGGCTAGAAGAATCTGGACCCTTGACTGGTTATTGTGGCTTTGATCCCACGGCAGAAAGTCTTCATTTGGGCAATTTAG